GTCACACTCATTATGTCGTCAAGGTAGCAGAAGACTTCGTCAGTTAGGATATCCCCCAAGACTAAATGCATTAGTCGTTGGAAAACTGCAGGTGAGGTGGCCAGACCAAAAGGGAGCACTTTAAATTGGAAGAGCCCTTCCGTTGTGATAAAAGCGCTTTTTTCTTTAGCCTCCTCAGCTCTATTTGCCAGTACCCAGAGGCAAGATCTAGTGTAGAAAAATAGCTTTTACCTTTGAGGTTTTGCAAGATTTTATCTATAGTCGGTAATGCATAATTATGTATTTTGTGGCTTGGTTGAGCTTTCTATAATCAACACACAGTCTCAAGGATCCGTCTTTCTTTCGGACAAGAACTGGGGAGACCCAGCTGGATTCGCTGGCTTCATTTACATTCCTCTCTTATAGGTCTGACAATATCTTGCGTAGTTCCAGCCGCGTTCCCAGCGGTACTGGCTTTCTCGAATAGGCAGTGACGGGCCTGTTTCGATGTCATGCTCCACAAGAGATGTTTGTGTCAGTTCTTGATCCGATACTGCAAACGTTATATTTAGTTACCAGTTCTCTTAGAGATTGTTGGTTTTTCACGCTATCTTTCCCATGGCAAAGTAGTTCCAAAAGATGTTGTTCGCGTTCATGAACTTTATCGCAGAGTACGCTCCAACATGTTTGTGTACTCCGCAGTGGGTTGCTCTACAACTGTATTCGCGTCCCGATTTCCTACTTTTTCTCCCACACGGAATAGTCTAGCTTGGTTCAACGTGTTAGTAACAGGTATTTCGACAACAGATTTGTCATAATTACAAACAGTATCCGGAATAACCTCACAGTTGGACCACAAGATCTGATCCGTGTTAGTCTCTGCAATAGAAATTGCCACCGCTTTTGTTTCTCCGGGAGGATGTACACTCGCCGAACCACCACAGCTGAGCGTGCGCTGCGGTAATCGGCCTTTGCCTTCTTCTGTTTGCTTCCTTCTGTTCTTTTGAGCTTTCACGTGAAAGTTGGTCTTTCCGTGGTCGCAGCTTACCCAATGTCGATTTGGCGGATTCGCTTTCTTCTTTTACCGTCAGGTTGAACTTTTCCAGCGCGTTGGTTCCGAACACAATCATGTCGTCGTCTGATTTTCTGACGAACATCGCCACTTTATGTAGTTGTCCGTTTTTCAGTTCTACTGTGAGACGTATTGCCTCTTTGAACTCCATCTGGTTTCCGGAGGCGTCATAAATTGTCTTCTCCCTTGGCACAGGGATTTCTTCGATATCACCGTCAATGTCGAATCCTGCTTTTTGCGCCTCAAGTAGTATTCTGAGTGGCATGATACTGACTTGGGATCCTGTATCCAGTAACGCAAGCTTTGACATGCCTAAGAAGATTGACTTCCGCGACAGTTTGCTTCCCAAAGAGTTCATTGTACGCCGATGGTCTGGCTTGAATTCTCTTTGCAACTCCAACGCTTCAACGTGGTGGTGAATGTTTGAGTTCTTGTGGTGTCTTTCCGTTGGTCACTAAGGGAAGGCCGTATCTTGCTCTGCTCTTGACTGTTTACCGGTAGCTTTTGCTCAGTCTGAAGGCTGTTTATTTCGCATATCCCGAGCTTTCCAGCAGTCTCTTCTGAAGTGTCCGCGTTTATCACAAAACGAACAAGTGACTTAATAATCTCCATGTTGTCCCTTCTTGAAACCTCGGCATGATGTCGAATATTCAGTTACTTCTGCCAAACGAGGTTTTTAGATGACACCTTTATTGGCCTTACGTTTCGACCTTCTCGTCTTCTTCAGAGGCCTGAAAATGGCTCGAAGCTTTTAATTTGTTACCTACCCGACCAAACGCCCTCCCCACTCTAGCGTTTCCGACTGTTTCAAGCGCCTTCAAAAACTCGTAATGGAGTCCTAAGCAACTCACTGCGAAGGTATCTACCGTTGGCGGAGCTCAGCTCACGCAGTGTGTTAGTTGAACCAGTAAGGACGAATGAGACTCACTTGTGTCTCACTGTGTCGCATAAGTCAAAATTGTCATAGCGCACGTAGTCCTTACTGTAGCTCGCACTCTGATACAAACGGCAGGAATTCATTTGTAATAGCCAGACACTCATTTCGGTGGATTTGTTACATTCGGCTGTTTTCTCCGAAAATCCAGAATGACTCCAGAACTTTCCTGGCTGAAGTTTCCGTCTCGTATGCCAGTATAACACATTTAACATCAAGTTCGTTCCCGTTATGCTGCTCCACCTTATGCTTGCCAAGGGGAGTGGTCATGATATCACGCCTTTTCCCAGCTAGGTGTTCTCCAATGCGCGTAGCCAATACCCTTCCTGTTTCTCCGATATACGTGCTGTTACACGCCCTACATTCAAGCTGATAAATTACTCCAGCTTTCCCGCAATCTCCTAACTTTCCATATGGGCAGATAACGCAGTCTGGTGTCAAGCACTGTCTGTCGTACAGTCTGTTGCGCACAAGTTGGCGTTTGATGTTGCTGTTGGGGATATTTACCAAGACAACATCGTCGTGTAATTGTGCCCTAACAATACTGCGACGTATTTCAGTGCTGATGCCATCGGAAATAAAAGGAAGGCATAAGGGTAGCTTTCCCTGGCGTGATACATGTCGTAGGCTAGCATCGAGCTGCTAGCCTAACGAGCATGTTACCAAGCGCCAGGGAAAACTACCCTTATGCCTTCCTTTTATTTCCGATGGCATCAGCACTGAAATACGTCGCAGTATTGTTAGGGCACAATTACACGACGATGTTGTCTTGGTAAATATCCCCAACAGCAACATCAAACGCCAAAGAACACTTGTGCGCAACAGGACTGTATCGACCAACCAGTGCTTGACAGCCAGGACCTGCGCGTTTAGTCTGCCCATTTGGAAACGTTAGGAGATTGCGGGAAAGGCTGGAGTAATTTATCAGCTTGAATGTAGGGCGTGTAACAGCACGTATATCGGAGAAACAGGAAGGGTATTGGCTACGCGCATTGGAGAACACCTAGCTGGGAAAAGGCGTGATATCATGACCAGCTTCCCTGGAAGAAGCGTTTCGGGAAACAAGGTCGGAAACGCTAGAGTGGGGAGGGCGTTTGGTCGGGTAGGTAACAAATTAAAAGCTTCGAGCCATTTTCAGGCCTCTGAAGAAGACGAGAAGGTCGAAACGTAAGGCCAATAAAGGTGTCATCTAAAAAACCTGTTGCGGGCAGAATGTAAACTGATATGAAGCAATGTGACTGTTTGTCTGTCTTCTCTGAAGAATTTCATGCCGGCCAGTGTAGCCCCACCGTTTGGGGGGGGGGGAAGAGACTTCGTGGGTGTCGTTGTCATCTAATTTGCGCTTAGTGTCTGGATGGTTGCTAGAATACGACCTACTAGAAAATCGTACTGCGTTAGCCACCTGGCGGCTTCGCCTCAATGCATTGTGCCAGACTCTATGAGCTTTTCATAGGCCTCTTCCTGAGTTGACTGCTCCAAGGTGCTGAACAGTTGCACGTACTCCTTCCATTCTGTGAGCTGTGTTATGAGTTCTCCTGCACGTATCATCGACAGCTCCTTTTCACTCGCATCTTGATATGCTCTGCGAGTCAATTCCTCCAGTAGTCTGTTACCGTGGACGTTTCCTGAGTTGCTTCAGCCTTATGTATTGGGCGGAACCATTTTCTTTTAATTTAGCACGTAAGGCTTCGACAAAGTTGGCGTACGTACCCTCTCGAATCACTTCGAGGCAGGGTCTCCATTACTGATTTTGGGTACCCTTGCAACTTCGAGCACATAAGGTGAATCAACATGCTATCCTGTAACCCTAATCCACCATATTTTCATATGGAAATGAGGTTACAAAAGTTCTCGAAACCTTTTCCTTGTGGATGGGAGAAAATGGGTACGTCCGGTAATGCCATGGCCGCAAAAGTTGTCCCTACACTCAACTCTGGTAAAAACTGAGATGAAATGGGAATCCTATCTTGGCTGTTCTGCCTCGGCGTTGCGGTCGTTGGCCTCTCTCTGTATGGCAACTGCAAAAAGGCATCATTAGGAATCTTTGAAGTTGGAATGCTGAGATGCCAGATTGTAACTTTCATGTTTCCTTATGTCTGAGGGGGGAGAACTGACCTTGCTCAGCGTCAGCTTGGTCGAAACGCGTGAGCTCTGCACGGTGAGGAAGACTTCCTTCTCGCACCTGCCTCATGGCCGTTCTGAAGTCAGCCACATTGCTCGTACTAGGAGTGTCCACATCCATTGGCTGTTCTCTCTGAAACTGGTCTACCGTAATGATCAGACATATAATTCCTGTGACCCTGAGCATTCTTAGTATAATTTGCCATAATTCCACTACGCTCATCGGCGCCTTTACGCTTGCTGAGGCAGTTCTTCACTGCACGGATGACTTCTGTTGAAGTCACCTGGAGCAAACGCGCCAATTCTCGCATGCACTGATCATCGTGTTGCGCCTGAGCATAGAACTCTTTT